GTTATAAAACAATTAAATTCTTTTTAACTGCCAAAGAACACAAAGAATGTAAAAAAGGCCAACAAAAACGGCTAAAAAGAGCTAAGACAAAGAAAAAAAAATTTGCTGCCAATTACAAAATATGCTGCGCAATGCAAAGAGGCGAGCAAAATATTTACAAAACAAATTTATAATTAGTGTGTGGCCGGTGGAGGCAAACTAGCTGCCACTCCCCCTTTGTGCCGGCCGCCCGTTCGTTCGCAGGAAGCGGGAAGTGGAAAGTGCTGGTGGGTTTGCATGCGCGACCTTTTTTGGTATAATTTACAAATTGGCTCTAGCCACATCCAGAGAACCCTAACCGCTTACCCTGAATGCAATGCAATAATGCATGCTAATTGCATTTGTCTGTTTAGTTGGTTTTTGTTTTTTTCAGGGTATTTTACCATTGCATAATTTAATATATCGACTCGAAGAGAACCTTCTAAAAAATACAACAACATCAACAAAAAGAAATAAAAAACACCTGCAGCTATTAACTTTTGGTCGAATATCTCATTAAATGTATTTATTTTCGTTGCATTGCATTTTATATGCAATTGCATTCATTAGGCGCACGCAAATGCATTCAAAATCGAACCAGCAATTCATATTGTTCACAAGGTCAATAAGTCTATTGGTCATATCGAGCATTGGGCAATTATATATATACATATATCTATGGTAAATATTGATATTTACTGCGAATTGGTGGTTGCTGCTGATGAATCATAGGTTGTCTGCAAGCGGAATTATTTTAACAAATTATTTTCAAGTATTTTAATTTATTTTATATAAAAATATATACATTTTATGATAAATTAATTATAAGTATTTGAATCAATTTTATATAAAAAATATATAGATTAAATTTAGATAAAGTTAAAATGAAGTATTTTTTTTAATTAATTAAAAGTAATTTAATTCTTTAAATATATAATATTATATTGATTGGATGATCAAATAATTGATTTAAAAATTAAACAAATATTTTTCCATAATTTTTTTAATAAGCAATTTATGATTACAAGTAAATTGTTACTTGAAAATAAAAAAATAAAAAAATTAATCGTCATAAATATTTTATTATATATATATTTTTATTTTAATCTATTATCTATACAAATGATTTATCTTTAAAAATCCTTTATATAAAATATAACATAATTTATAATACATATTTATTAGATATGTTTATATTAATATTATTTGTTAAAGTTTTTATATTAATAAAAATAAATATTTGTTGTTCTTTAAATTAGTTTTTTAAAATTTTTTGTATTACATATGCTTTAACTCTAAAGTCTCACTTATAATGGGACTTTTAAAAGCTCTTAGCGCAATTACTATAGATATGATAAGAGTTTCTTTTAATTATACAACTGGTTTGATAGGCTATTTCACATACTTAGTTTGAGGCAAGTGCAACATAAATTAAAACAGTAGCTTGTAGAAATAAATATTTTGCGCCAAGTATGTAGCTCGTTTCGATAATGCAATTTATGTATGAATAGCATAGACCCCCTCTCTCTCTCTCTCTCTCTCTTTCTCTCTCTCTCTCTGGTCTCTGTGCAGAGTGCAAACCAGTTTGGGGTCCATTCAGATTTAGTGTAGAAATGCAATCCATGAAACGAAATAAATATGCAAGTAAATGCATGTTGCATATTCATGTCCACAGTCGAGATGCCAACTGTGTGCTGAACTGATAAATTAAACAATCCTAACTTTAAATGCAATTGCATTGCAAATTTTTGTGGCTCTGGCTGCAAAGCAAAAAAAAACGCGACTAGAAAGTCGCAAATGCGCAATGCGAATTGGCGAAATGGTAAATGTAGAAATGTGGAAATGGAAAAATGGCAATGGAAATGAAATTTATGCGCTGTACTCGTTAGTTTTGATGTCTTTGATGCCACCTGACAGACGACAGGCCGACGAGATGCAACCGCAAGAGAGGCGACTGTGAAAATGGGCTGGGGATTAAGCACTTGTTCGCTCAAGATTTAAATGTGACAGCTACGAAATAATTCAAGCTGCACGCGCTGCAGCACTTAATACCCTTAATAACTTGTAAGGAATTTATATAAATTAGAAATGAGGGAAATTTATTAATACTAGGAGTATATGCATAGAAAAATATTGTGATATGCTAAGACTTTGAGACTTATAGAACTGATTAGGTGGATAGAATTAGATAGATTTGAATAGGACAGATTAAATAGATTAATCCAAGCATTTGTAGATTGTTTGACAAATTTTTGAATTTTTTTTCCAATCCAATTAAATAAAGTATTTCATGAATTTCTTTTTAAGGCAAATGAATCTATTTTACTGAATACCTCCATTATATATTATTAACAGAAGCAACAAGAATCAGCTGAGTCTAGTTTCAAGAAGCTACCTACATAACTAACCGAGTTCACATAGTATAGTTTAGTACAGATGGAGAGATATTTTAGAGCCTAAGAAATTGAATCAAATACCCAATATTTCCACATTTCAAGTATCAAGAAGTATCAAGAGTTCCCATGGACACTTTAATATAGGTGGATAGATATTTTAGAGCTTCAGGCATGAAAACAAATACTCCCCAACATTTCAAAAAACCTCTATCCATATGTTACACTCTTTCCATGCAATGCCAACTACTCCCCCTTGGTGAGGGCATACAGTCAGGCATGCAGTTGGCCCACGATCCGTCAACTGAAAGCTATAATTCTCGAGTCGTGGCAATAATTAGATGCGCCTATTTGATAACTCAATGAATATTCACAGTTCTAGAAAGTTAACACTCTTGGGAATGGACCATTGGGGGTCGTCATGTGAAAGCCAAACAGATTTATGCCATACTACAAAGTAACTGCCAAGGGCCTGCTTAGAAAAGCCATGAACGCATTCCCAAATGCAAATTCGCGAACATTAAAAAAGTCAAGGAAGAAGATGAAAAGCAGCAAAAATAAAATAAACAGCGAATTTCATGTGAAATCGTCGTCGCTGTCGTAATTACGGGCAATTTTCCATGAATTTATTAACAGCAGCAGCCGAAATGCGCCCCGTCTCTGGCAAAACAGCTGATGCCCTCCCTACCGTACGGCTCCAACATATCTTCTTCGCCCCTCCCATCGCCCCCCTGCCCCTCTTTAAACAAACAGACCATAAATAGTATAAATTTCCACATGACACGCGATGATAATGCGCTTTTCAAGCAAGTTCACTCAAGTGTCTGCATCTGAAACATCATTTGCGTACAGCTGGCAACTCTTAATTGCTCAAAGCGCAAGCGACAAAGTTCTCCCCGCCCCACGCTCCGGCGCCCCTCTCACTCACTGCGCCCCTATCCAGTTTCAAAGTCAGTCAAAGTAACATTTTCAGTGGCATTCTCAGCTGTTGCGCTGTCGAGAGTCCAAATCGCAGTGCTTTCATTTGGCAAGTGAGACAAAGACATTGCTCGGCATTTCATTGATAGCTGGTGTCGGAGTGTGTGTGTCTGTGGGTCATCACCCCGTCCCTAAGGCGGCCACTCCATACCTCTCGAACTACGCCTCTGTGCATGTCATGCGCGCAGCTCATCTGCATGCTCATATCTTCGTCATCTTCGGCCTCAGTTGCTTCAATTGTGTCCCCTTCTGCCGGGTGTCTGTTTCTTATTAGCTTCAAGAGAGTGAGGGCTTCTCACTCTCTCTCTCACTCGGCTGATATGGGGGGATAAGAGTTGGGGTACAAGCACTGGGCAATCAGTAGGCAAAAATTCCATGAATTAATTTCAGTTTTGCATGTTGTTATTTATTAAAATTTTATTTTGCGTTTTACTCAAAGCCGCGCGCGATTCTCTTTTATAGCTGCCGCTTTTCATGCCCTACACTATGGGCATGTGTGCTCGAGTGTATGTGTGTGTGTGTATTGTGAGCTAGTTATTTTCCATAATTTTTTTGTGATTCTTATCATTGCGCGCTGTCAGTGTGAGCTGTGGGTTGCTTCTGTATGAATGAATGAGCTTAACCGACTGAAAGAACAAGAAACCTCACATATGTATATATGTATATACAAAAATAATATATTTCACTCAAAATATTAACTTCATACATTTGTCTACTCTCATTACACACAATAGATGTGAAGCGAAGTATTAAAAAAAAAAAATAAGTATATATATATTTTGAAGAACGGACAAAGAAACAGAATTTATTGTTAAATTATTCAATATTTATTAATTAACAATTAATTTGAAAATTGTTTGATTTACAAAGGATAACAAATTTTTTCTTTTAGTTTTTTTGTTATTGTTAGTTTTTTTAAATATTATTATTTTTTTATTTGGTTAAAAAAAAAAAATAAATAAATAATCAAAGATTTTGGAATAAATACAAAATTTGGTATCATTAGATAAAATATAATACAAAAACCAGAGTTACAAAACAAAGAATGTAAAATATTCATAGAATACATACCGACATTTTTTAAAACTTGTTTTTTTTTATATATATTTTTTTTTACCATTTTCCCCTATGTTCTTTCTTCCCAATAAAAAAACGTTTTCAAAATTTCTTTGATAACTATTTTTAATTTTTATTAATAAATTTTTAAATATATTTGTTGTTTTTTTTTATACATTTTAAAATCTATTAGTACATATTTTTTTCTGTATTTTTTTAATATCTTTTTTTATAATTTACAGATATAAATTGTTGTGTTGCTGATAAATTCAATTGGTTTACTGTTACAATTTTATATTTTTAATTTCTTTTTTATATGTATTCTTTTATATTTAAATTACAAATGTTTTTAATTTTATAAATTGTTAGTTTCGCTTGCCCATTACTACAAAGTTTATAAATAATATTTATTGTTTTTAATCATATTTTTCTGTTTGCTTTTATTTTTAATTAAAATTAAAAATCATTCAATTGATTATCACAGTATTCACGAAAAAATAAATATGCTTAAAAGTTTGTTAGATGGAAATTTAAATGTTTTGTTAAAAATTGTATTTAGAGAATTTATTTTCTAGAAGTTGTGATTTTTTTTTTTTGTGACTCGAAAATGTTACACTGCAAGAAAAGTCTTAGACTAAACATGACTTAAATATTAATCATACGACATATAGGACAATTTCAATAAAAATTTAATGCAGTTTCCTGTTGGTCGCAACAGGCAATTGCATTAATATTTTATTAGTAAATGTGGGTGCTTAAATGAACTAGTAGTAGTTCATACTGGTTCATTTGATCAGCCACATATTGCCGCCGATTTGCTCAATTTTATATTTATATATTTATATTATAATTTGTTACAATAAATACGAATAATAGTTAACATAAAACAAACCACTCACACACACACACACATGTGTGTGTGTGCTCATATATGTGTGTGCGATTGGTGCGTGAAACCGAATCATAGTGAAGAATTATGCTAATATTTGATGTGTTTTGCGACTTTGAACCTGCAAAAATAAAGAGCAGAAGAAAATATTTAGTATGGGATTTATTAATGCAAGTTTATACACGAAATTAAATAAAAAAAATATTTCCCTTTACAAAATGTATGTGGTATTATTTGTTAAATATATATGTATAAATTAAAAATAAAATATATATCTAAACAAACTTTAAAAGCAATAAAAGAACAAGCTAAAATCACAAAAATATATTTAAATGAAAATATAGAAATTAAAAGCAGATATACTGAAAAATATTTGTAAAAAAATAAAAAAATATAAAATACTTAATATTCTCACAATATTAGAACAAAAAAATAAATAATTAAAAAAAAAAAAACTCAAAACGTATTTCAAAACTAAAAAAAAAAATCTGTATATAGTTTTTGTTTAAAATTATTTTGTTTTGTTATATTAGCTATATATTTATTTAATATAATTAAAATAATAATAAAAGTAAATCGCAATGAAATGTGTTACACACCTGCTTTAAATTAGTTAAGCTGTGCGCGTTTGTTCTCTATGGTCTGCGCACATTGCACTGTGTTTGTGTTCCATTCGTAGAGATGGGTTCGCACCGGGTCTCTAGTGGAGCATGTAGGACGACTCGTCGTCATCGGCGCCCGTGGGACTGTCGAGCGAGGGATTGATGCGTTTCTCCTTCTGCCGGCGATTGCAGAACCAAACACGCACCACTTCCTTCTCCATGCCCAGACGATCGGCCAGCTGGCTGATCTCCTCGGAGGTGGGCTTCTGATTGGCCATGAAGGCCTTCTCCAAAGCACCGCGAATCGTTGTCTCGATCGACGTACGCTTTTTGCGTCTACGTCCAATTATTTCCGGCGTGCTGACCGTGGCCTGCAGGGCAGCCGGATCGAAGACGCCGCCGGTGGCCTGAATCGTGCGATCCGCATCATCCAGCCACTTCTGGAGCAGGGGCTTCAGCTTGCACATGTTCTTGAAGCTCAGATTGAGCGCCTCGAAGCGCGAGATGGTGGTCTGCGAGAAATCATTGCCGTACAGCTTGCCCATGGCCAGGCCCACATCGCCCTGGGTGAAGCCCAGCTTGATGCGTCGCTGCTTGAAGGTCTTGGCAAACTGTTCCAGCTCCTCCAGATCTGTTGTCTCTTCGGGCGAGGGCTCGCCGGCTGCACGCGCCGCTGCCGCACTGGCCACCGTTTTGGGCTGCGGCGTGACCTGACTGTGCGTGTGGGCGTGGCCATGCGGGTGCGAGTGGCTGGTGGGCGTGCTGGGCGTTAGCATGCCGCTCAGCTTCAAACTGGCCGCCGAATTGGGCGGCGTTATCTGCAGCGGCTGATGCGGCGAGCTGGCCGGACTGCGCACGGCAGCCGGACTCCGTGAATGGGGCGTCGAGCTGCGCGGCTGCTGCAGCGGCGATTTGCACATGCTCAGCGTCTCCTGTTGCTTCTGCAGCGCCTGCAGCTGCTGTGTGGCCTGGGCCAGCGCCTGCAGCTGGCTCTGCATCAGGAACTGAGCGGTAGCGATCTGACCAGCCAGCGCCGGATCGTCCTGCGAGAGACCCAGCGAGCCGCTGCGCAACAGTTCCATATAGCTATTGAACTGCTGCTGCAGTGCGACCTGTCGCTGCTGCAGCACCTGCTGGAGCTGAGCGAAATCCTGTTGCGAAATGGAGCCGGCCAGCAGAGGATTCAGAGCCAGGCCGGCAGCCGCCAGCTGAGGCGAGGACAGGCCGGGTAAGGCCAAGCCAAGACCCGGCTGCATGCTGTTAGCCATTGCAGCGGCAGCTGCGGCGGCGGCTGCCATAGAAGTGGGCGTGGCAACGGTGGGCGGCAGTACAGGCGAGACGAGCGGTGCCGCCAGCTGAGCCGGCGGTGTGCCCGCTGTCGATTTGACCGAATTCGCCGGACTCTGAGTGCTGTGCCGTGAATTATCGCTGGTCAGATTGAGTGCACCGCCATTGGCATCATCATAGTCCTCATCCTGCTGCTCCTGCTTGTACGTCTGCTGCAGATGATTATGATTGTGATTGTGGTTGTGATTGTGATTGTGATGGTGCGCCGGATGCGGCTGCATCGAGAGCAACTGTCGCTTGGCCTGCTGCTGGGTGAGCAACAGCGCTGGACTCAGCGGCGAGCGACAGCGATCGCTGGAGGTGCCCACACTCGAGTTGTTGTCATCACAATCGGAAGCTAAGAGAGGGGAGAGAGAAGGAAAACGATATTGTTGAAGTAAATGTTGAAAGAGAGAGAAGCAGAGAGAATAAAGATGAGAGAGTGAGGGAATATTGATAAAACTGGGCAGTTCCATAGACAGTTCCAGCAATAAACTTTAATCTGGACTTTCAATATATTTATTATAAATAAAGTAAAGAACTATTTACTAACAACTGTTCATGAACCCTTTCATGGGCTACAACATTATTATACTAATAAAAATTTATTTCTATTTAAAGTTGGAAACTCTATCAAAAACCGTTCACAACAAAACCCCAAAGACCAACTCTATTTGGGAATCGATTAGAGACAGCAAAACTAACTCAAAGCGTGACTAAATTAAGCATCTCATACACCCCATTCGGCTCAGTTTTGTCCTTTGCATAACTTGAATGTGTTTGCATAATTTTCGATACAATTTCATAGTCCGTTGAGTTCGTTTGTGTGGGTGAAAGGCTTTCTTTTCGCAAAAGAAAGCCCACCCAAGCTGGGCTGTGCCCTGACTCCCTCCTCTTGTTATATGTGTATACACATAGTTTACATAGCTAGTTTACCTTTGCGTACATCAAATGGATTTCTCGTGTTTTCTTTTCATTTTGGCTGCTTTTAAGTGCCATTTTAGCATTTCAAATGCTGCGGACAAACGATTTGTATAAATTTGCTATTTCTATGCATTTTTATTTGCACAAAGGCTGTGGCCAAGCTGATGGCAGTGGTGGTGGTGGTAGGTGGGGTAGGCCACCCAATTGATTTGCAATAATATTTAAATATGCGTCAGCTCAAGTTTAGTCGAAGAAACTTTTACCCCTCGACTAGCAATCAAAAATTGAAACCCTTTTCAATGGCAGCAGCTTCTTTGAAGTATAAGCCACACACACGTTTCTCTGTTCAAATCTCAATTGTGGCATTTCCATTTCCATTTCCCGAAATTTTCCCCCGTTCAACTTCAACTGGTCAGCCAGCTGGGTCCAGAAATTTTTGCATATGTTTGGTGGACCATTGAGGCTGGCTACTTTATGACTTGTGGCACCGGATGGTGGTGGATGCTACGTGAATTTGATGACTTATTCGGACGAGTGGGTGCACCACAGCAGAGAGTAAATTTTTTTCATCATCTGCCTCTTCTTCTTCGTCGACGTATATGTATGCTGCGACTACGTGCGGCCATTTGGTATTCAGATGATGTGCAAATTCGATTTGTATGTGTTGTGTGAGGAAGTGTGCACAGCGGCGTAGGCAAAGCAAAGAGGCAAAGAGGGGCTAACACGTTTATGGAAGCTGAACTTTGTAGTGAAAGTTGAGCTAGTTTGGACAACTAACAGCTGAGTTACAGTGAGATGGGTAGAGCTAGGGATAGTACTTTACTAGTGAAAATAACGATATTTTGTATTACATATCGAATGGTGAAAACTGTGTATGACATAATATTGTCCTACTCGAGTTACAATAGACACTTTTATTTATGTGGATGATATTTAAGGAAGGCTTAATTGAAATTTAGTTGAATCAGTGTCAGAAATATACTGAACAAACCTGAGCAGCCTAGCTCAAACAGCAACCGAGTTACAATAGGTTATTATAACTAGGGAATGTTCATTATTTTGAAGTACTATATTTTGGACTATTTTCTACTCAATGGTAAAATTTGCAACTGCTTAGGTGTTGCAATAGTCAAGTTATATTTCATGATTTGATTATACCTCAATTTAGGTTTAGGTGCATGAGATTCCAAAATATATTCATTTGAATCACATAACTACATCAGCAGCAGAGTTACTCGACTTTGTTATATGGGAACACCCCTCTAAACAACGCCGCTGTGCTTTTAGCCAACCAATAAAAAAGCCAAATGGTCAGTTTGACTTGCACACACAGAGGGCCAACAGCTCCCACACTCGTGCATAACGGCATAATTTTTGCATAAAATATATGTAAATATGTGTTCATTCGGTAGCCAAAAGCAGGGAGCAAAAGAAATCTCAGCAGCAACTGGGTCCCACACACACGCACACACACACTCAGGCAAACACACATGAAAATTCAAATCAAGCGAAATGCTGTCAATAATATAAAAGGGAGTCCGAGAAAAAGGTTCAGTTGCTTGGACCCCGGACCGAGCCGTGACTAACGAAGTTCGAAACGTGGGCGTGCCAAATATACATATGTATAGGGTAATATTTGATGATGATGATGATGATTATGAGGCTGATGATAAGACTGAAGTTGATATTGATGATGATGATGAGGATGCTGTTGTTGCCATGAAATTTGTAAAGTGTGAATTTCAAATTTTACGCAGTTCAGACACAAAATCAACGAGTTATGAATAATAATGAGGGCGAGATGAATATGATTTAAAAGAAATATTACATGGCTGACAATAAATATAAAACATAAAAAGACATTTATATATCAGTTTCTTATCAGTTGACAGCCCTAACCTCAATTGCTCAACGAATGCGCTACTTAAGGAGTTGTTAATAAGACATTAAAATCGACTCGGAGCAACGCCTCGTTTCTTAATTTTGTCACCCCAGAGCTAAATCAGAGACACAAAAAGTTTTGACAGCTATTGTTTAGAGATTGTTTGTCCCTATCAATGCTACCCTAAACCCTAACCCTAACTCTACAACAGTGAAAACCCTAAAATCTGAAACCCTAGGCACAGCGCGTGGCCAACGAGTGCGAGGTTGTTGTATTCTCTGTATTTCTGATTGCAAGGGTTGTTCGAACTACCCGTCATCTATTTATTGTCTGCTCATTGTAACTGATGCCAGTCGAGCTGCTGCAGCACTGTGGCAGATGTTTTTCCATTCCATATATATCCAAGTGGACAAATCGTAAATACTCGGACAACAGCTGAGACTCTCTAATGGATGCTTGGTTTTTCAAATTTAAAGAGTTGCATTTAAAGTGGCGGCACTTACCGTTCGATTGCAGTGGCGAAGGCGAGCGCGACAGTCGGCTGATGTCTGCAAAGAGAGATAGAGAGAGAGTGAGTAACGGAGAAAAGTTAGTCTCAGGCCAAATATCTTATTAAAGGAGCGACAGCACGTTCCAGGCATAAACATAAGTAGAGGTTTTTTCTTAGCGCAGCTAAATTTAGCATTTAAGTTCGTTTGAGTTTCGTGCTGCAAATCGATATTCGATACATTTTAGCTAACTGACCAAATGGCTGCAGACAGGACACGCTGCTTGCATAAAAGGATATTTTTATGGCACACCTGGTGTAGAGAGCTCAGCGCTGCGCAGCTCAGCTCTGCTCAGGTCAGTCGCACAGCTCCCGCTCCTGTCCGCTCCACTCAATTTGAATTTGAAATTTTTTGTGTGAGCTCAACTGCATTTTATGGCCACATATCGAAACGAATTTTGGGGCGCGTCTCTGTGGGCTAATTTATGAGTCTTGAGCTGTTGGCTAAGCAACATTTTTGCCGTTTCGCTATGTTGCATGCCGCGCACAAAGTGCAGCTCGTTGGCCACATTTAGCAACATTTTTAGTATGCAATTTGCAGATTAGACGAATGACTAATCGATAGATTGCTGAAGCGGCGAGCGTAGGGTGGAGCAGTCTTAAAAGGGGGGGCAAACGTATATACATATATGTCTTTGAGTATGAAACTGAAATGGAGCGACTTTTCTATAAATTTGCCTATAAATGCGATTATTCTATAAATAGGAAATGTATTTAAATAATATTTAAATAAAATATTTAATACTAATAAAGCATAGGGATATAGAATTATCCTACATAAATCACATATGTATATACGTGTAGAATTATTTTTTTTTTTAATTTTAATTCATAAAATAATTGAATAAAAAAATACTTTTAAACTGAATCCCTGAATACTAAATAGTAAAAAAAAAAAAAATAAATGAAAGTGTCTTCATATATTATTAAATAAAAAAAAAAATAAAAAAAAAAAATATTTAATTATAAAATAATATATGTATATAATTTCATATTATATTATATTATATATATTTATACAATATTAATAATAATATTATAATATTAATATATTAATAGAATACTATTAAATACGCATATGATCACAATCATTATTATAATATTAATCTGCTTTAATACCTTGGGCAAATATAAATTAAGTTAAGTTGATTTGTTCATTTCGTAAAGTTTGTTTATCAATTGATCATAAAGTAAGTGGCCTTAATCCTCACTAAACAAGTGCGGCCATAAATTTAGCTGTTGAATGGGCGAGGGAATACCCACATATAGCGTGTTCAGTCAATCCATAAAGATTATGAACTTTTTGCTGTTTACACTATTATATCATCCATATGACGATTGAGTTACGTAATGAACTAGACTGTGAATGAGATGAACTCGAGATAGTTTTAAAAGCTTTGACTATCTATGAGCAGAAATATTATTTTGAATGATTTTTAGATAAGGGACGATGCTTGCGCATATTATGGAATAATCCATATTCTAAGCCAAGGAATTACTATTTCCATTTTCATATACTTTTTTCAAGATATCTTAAATTCTGACTAGATCTCCTACTATAATATAATATTTATGTAGTACATCATTTTAATATATTATTTCAAAGATCTTCAACTTAGGTTTCCCTTTCGTTCATTCATTCGATTCATTCTTCTGTTGCCCTAGACTAAATAAATTCGATTGCCCAAATCCTAATCTGAAACTCGTCTGTTGTCCAACTGTTGTCACACACACGCACACACGCACTTCTGGCACACTTTTCTCTCGCCTCTTTCGTTAGGTAATTAAGCGACAACTGTTGTTGTTGTTGTTGCTGTTGCTGCTTATGCCACACTTCAGCAGCAATTCAAGAACTCGTCCACTCGAGAGCAACAAAAATGAGAAGGAGGCGAGATCTGTGATCTGCGCCGATATGTGTTATGTATGTGGCATATGGGCCGTGAAAACGTGGACCTACCCCTGCCCCCTGTTCAGTTGCCCTTCAGTTCCCCGTTCCTCGTTTCCCTTTCCATCAACCATTCGCTCACTGCCCGGGCCGGTCCAATCAAGGCGCTGGCACTTAAAACGTTTGCGAGCCAAAACTAATTTTCAAAAACTGCGCGTTAAAAGTGCCACAATAAATTATGCAACCGATTTGAAAAGCCACCCCCGCTGTTGCCACTGAGGGAGGAGGGCAGGAGGTAGAAGGAGAAGAAGCATTAGCACGGCGCATGCCAAGCAGCGGGTCAAACGGCAAAAGCGCAACAATGAAATTTTTCGGCAAATGAAAATTAAAAATTTCGAAGCCAAAAATTCGAAACAAATGCAAAAACCGCAGACGCACACAGCGGGTGAGCAGAGAGTGGGCGAAAGGAGAAGAACAAGAGAGAGGGAGTGGAGAGAGAGAGAAGGATAGCGGGTGTAATGGGAGCTGTGAGGCTGGCCAGCCTGGCGAATCGCTAAAGCAGATACTTTTGCACAATTAGTCAATGACCTCGACAGCTGTGAGAGAGACGGTGTGCTTGTGTGTGTGTGTGTGTGGGTGTGTAAATATATATATATAAATATATATATAGGTATATATGTATATATGTGCGGCACACACATCACGTGCACAGACTGACTATCGATTGAGTTGTCGACATCGTCGTCGTCGTAGTCGTCGGAAGCTGCGTGTCTTGAACTCTTGACCCCGCTGAAGCTCTGCGTGTTTATGTGTGTGTGTGTGGCAAAAATGGTTTTGTTGTGCCTTTTGCTCTTGTGTGTACGCAGCCAAAACAAAGCAACAAGGAGAATGCGTCGGAGAAAGAGAGGGAGAGAGAGAGAGAGAGGTAGACAGAGTTGAAGTTATCTGCAACGGAAGTCGATTTCCGCAACGATAAACAAATTAATCGATAGTGCAGTTTGGGGTTTTTTTTCTGACTACCCATTAGAATTAGTTATGATGGAGTTTTTGAGATTATTATATGACATGCGAGATGGAAGATCTAAGAAGATACACTAAATATACAATTTTCAATATTTTGATATTCAGCTTTATATCTGACTATCTATAATAACTCTTCATTTCAATAGATCTATGTAAATATATTTAATGAGAATTTATTTTAATACCTTTTTCTATGTATATCATTCGAACTTTTTATTCATTTCAAATTTTTGAATTTTGAATTTCCTAAATATATTTTTCCACTCCTATTTTATATTAAACTTTATCATCTGCATTAATGAGCTTTATCTTTCTTTTTTAATTTTAATTTTATGGCCATTTTGTTCTCCGAACTGGTCATAAGTGGTTAATACACGCCCTCTTTCTTGACCAGTTCACTTCTGTGCGCTGATAAGAATTGTTAGCCTTGTACTAATTCTTCCTCTTCGACAAGCTCTTATCGTGGGTTATGAGCTCATATACCGACCATGGTTAAAAATAATCCCTCACATCGAGAGAGGATAGGTAGAGGAAGAGAAAATCGTGCACATTGTCGTCAATCGAACGAAATAAATCGTAGCATATTAATTTAAAACTTATTGTCGAATCGATTAATTTATTGTAAGTGGTTTGCCTATGACGAAATTTGTTTACCAAGAACTCTTGACTTGACTTTTTTGTTCTTTTTTTGTGAAGCAGGGCATTACGTGTAGTTTTCCAGTGCAGGTGTGCCGGGAGATAAGCGTAAGTTGAAAATATCACAATAGCGAGATAAACAAATTGGGCTCTAACTAACTGTATGGAAATCATGGGACTTGGACATATTTAATCGGTTCACCAGATAAGACGCTAACTTTGTGCTAAGAATAAATTATGGTTTTCGGGTAGAAACACGTGTGGGCTTTGGGTGAAAAAAAAAA